GGGAAAGAAACAACATTTGGAATTGCTTTCTGAGTGGTTTGTTCTGCAGCCTATGTTTGGGATATAAAAATTTATATTAAAAGTGTATTCAACGGTATTTGGTCTTGTATTTAGGAATTTTTCTTCATAAGCTTGAATGAGATGCATGTAAGTGTGGTTCACTGAGTATGAAAGAAGCCAAAAGCTGTATGTTGTTTATTAAAATGTCCTGGACCGACTGTTATTGCCTGTAGACATAATCAGTGTGTATTAGTTTACTAAGGCTGCCATAATAAATACCACAGTCCTGGTGGCTCAAACAATAGAAATTTATTTCTCACAGTTCTGGAGGCTGGAAATCTGAGATTAAGCTGACAGCAGCAGGCTTGGTTTCCTCCGAGTCTTCTCTCCTTGGTTTGCAGATGGCTGCCCTCTTGCTGCCTCTTCACGTGGTTGTCTGTGCACACATACTCCTGTCTCTTTGTATGTCTTATTTCCTCTTCTAAGGACACCAGTCACATTGGATGAGGGTTGACTCTAATGACCTTATTTTAACTTAATCACCTCTTTCAAGCCTTATCTCCAAACACAGTCACATTCTAAGGTACGGGGAGTTAAGGCTTCAACATATAAATTTGGGGGGGGACATAATTCAGTCCATAACACAGTGTAAACTTAAGGTTCTTGTATTTGAGAGCTTCCCCCCTACAGATCCCATGGAAAAAAATTGGAAAATATAATCTATTCTAGATTCACATTTATTAATATGTACTTACTGTGGATGTAATTGTTTCCACCTAAATTGCATCAAAAATAACTGAGACATTTGCAAAAATAAGTCCCACATACTATCTCAGCCTATAGAATCAGAATTGCCATGGAAATTTTGCATTTGTAATATGTTTGAGGACAACTGGACAATGGCATGGATGCACCCACAGTTATTGTTCAATTCCAAAATAAAGAACAATTGCATTCTTTCAAACCTCTCAAGCCATGAATCTAAGACCTCCCTCAACTGTTCTGATTTCCTCCTATTCTCCACACTCAATATTAAATAAAAACAAAGAATTGGAGACCACTTTTGTTATGGTTATCCCAAAGTAACTATTGCTGAGGTGGCTGAAAGCAGACAAAAGAAGTGATGAAAGGATAGTGGGAGGTCTGGTCTATTCAAGCTCATGTATATATATACGGTTTGCTGGGAAACAAGGCAGTTGAAATTATGGCTGAGATTAACTCATTAGGCAGATGGTAGTTACAAAAGAACAGTAGGCTAAGGAAGCAGTAAGTTATAGAGTGACAATGTAGTCAAAAATGTAGCAACCAAAGTGTAGTCTTATATGCAATTAAAAAGAAAAACAATCCTAGTACTGTATTTCCTTTTTTAAACTAAGTGGATATATAGTGGCAAATGTCCAGGTAGAACAAGTCATTTGTAGGCCATGTTCCTGTTTATTTCTTCTAAACCATATAGATCCCTTTTGAAATGTATGTGTGTGTAATTAATTCAGTTTTTTACATGAATTTTAGGACTTGTCAAAGCACACCTTGAAATATGTAAGGCTGATAATACACTTTAGGTATCATCTACATGTGTTCTTATTCGTTTTGATTCAAGTCTACCCATAATATATCCTAAGGTATAAAAATTTCACCAATACCATAATATACAAATTATAATCTACTAAACCATTCTCCTATTATTGAACATTTAGAATGCTTCAAATTGTTCATTAATTAGTAACAAAATTTAAGTATTTAGAAAATACAAATATGATTAAATGCAGTATATAAAGAAAACGTCATTAGTGTTTAGAATCAACAGTTTAATAATGGCATATCTTTACAAATCACAAAATATAGAGACTTAAGGATACTGCAAGATGACTAACACTGATTTAGTATGTGGTGTGTTTGTGTGTGTGTGTGTGTGTGTGTGTGTATTTAAAAAGACACAAAGAAGCAGATCATGGGAAATGCATATGTAGCAAATGTTACCGGTTTGTGATTCTGGAGTCCACATAATAAGACTCCCATAATAATGAGTTTCCTGTTTTCAACGTGTCAACCATATCATTATGTTCCCTAAACTTTTACTGTCAAATCTCTATGCCTCTCCCAACCTAAACCCCACTTACAAAACATCAGTGAGTTGGGATTCAACTCAGTGTGATTAGCCAACTGACTTTTGTTCATGGTATTTCTTACCCAAATCAGTAACACCAACGCTTTTCTTCCCTGTCCCAAAGTCTCAATTTCCTATATCTAATAGCTAATTTTAAAGAGACCCAATTTAATTTTTTCCCAAAAAAGTAAGTTTTCCAAACTTTTAATCAGAAAGAAACATCTCTATTTTCATCCCTGCCAGACTTGAAGAGTGATCTTGGAGTTTTAAAATCTTTGAAATGTCTTATAAATTCTATTATATTACATATGGATAGACAGCAACTGACCCTTTACTCATATATCACATGTGAATATAGAGTGTCTGACTATTTACCTATTATAGAATATACCATTTTTTGAATTCATAAAAACATATAGGTAATCTAAAAAAGGGATTACCAGCTCTTCTGGGCATTAGTGCCCCTAGGAGGCTCCTGAGAATGCCACTTGCTGGAGACCACCCAGGTCTTTCAGATTCAGAATCTACAGAACAAGACTTAGTATCTATAATATAAAAAACAAGAAAACCTCCCCAGGTGACTCTGATACAGCCTGTTCACAGATATGCATTTAGGAACCACTATTTGAGGAGATGTGAGTGAATCAGAAAAAATCTATCATATATTTTATTTTGGGTATAAGCTGTAATTTAGGAAAAAACATAATTAAATATGATGGTCCTAAGATAAATTTATTTATAGTAAAACATACATATGTTTGCTATACATTTATAGTAAATATATATTTAAAATTTTATTCTTAACCAAATGGGCTTGATAGAAAATAGACCATTTTTCTATACCATTTGGATGGATGAAAATGGAAGTGAAAAGCAATCTCAGTTGACTCCAATATCTTTCTTCCTGTGTCTTTTCCCCTTTTGCTTTTCTCACTTGTCCTCCAAATGGAGATTTTGCATTGCTGGAAAAAGGTGGTATAGGTGAATTGGGGATTTACTTATGTTTTGTTCCAACTCCAATAATATATCGTCAGTGTTAAAGGATAATTGTGTTCTCACTGTGCTTAATTGTATTCCTGAGTCTCTTTATCCTGTCTCACCAGAAATTAGTACTATATCAAAGATGTATCACAACAACAAAAATTCACAAAAGTAATAAAATTATAAGTTTCAGCACCCTGGTCTTCTTCTGTAGAAAGATACCTCTTGCCAGTCTAAACAAAACTTAAGATGATTCCCAACTGTCATAACCAAAGGCTTTCTGTGATCACGTTGGTTGGTGAGTGAATGAGGAACTGCATAGGTTTCACCACCAGCTGCGTAAATGATGCGTTTTCATGTTAAATACTTGTGATTTCTCCTATAAATGGAAAAAAATGAATCATTTTTCTATATCGTATAGCAATGATATGTCCTTTTTGTGTTTAACATGATTATACAGTTAGTAAACTGGTGTAGACTTGCTGTCAGTATTTGGGAGCTACAGTACAGCTGAAGGCCATCGTTTGACTGTATTAATAATAAAACAAAGATGTGCCAGTGAGCAAAAGACTGGTCAATGAGGCAAAGTGTAGGAGAAGGATAGTCTCAGACAAACGTAGTCAGTGTCCATCTCAGCACTAACCACAAGAGAGGAAAGATGACTTCATCAGAAGCCTTAGTAAGTTGTTTGCAATCACAGTATACAGCTTCATTTTAATTTTCATGCTTGCAAACAACCCTTTGATGACTTATCATTTGTTTTGTATGCAGTCAATAATGCAGGCTGTAGACAAATTCTCTTAGCATTTATTTGTTTAACTTGTTATATGTACTCATTTTCGGTCTGAAGGGCAGTAATGTGAATCAGAGTGATAGAGAAAATCTCAGCAAGCTGGCACGTCAAACCCTGAACTTGGAAGGATGTAGTGACAGATGCTATAGTTGCAGTATATGATGTGTGTGTGTGTATATATATATATATATATATATATATATATATATATGCAGTATTTATCTTTCTACTGATTAACTAGGTTGATTCAGCAATTTAGAAGCTGGATGTGTAGATCTTCTTCATTCATTGCTCCAATGGAAAACATTACAGAAGTTGCAAGGATGATTTCCTTAGACAGAAGAGTTTCAAGAGTGTATGAGTTACCATGAAGACATGTAATATGTAGTATGTTTCATATGAAATTGTGTACAAATGAAGTTATGTTTTAAACTGTAATGTTAGTAGCAGTAAGATAAAATGAAAAGTATTCTGGTTAAAAAGGGTTCTGCTAATTCTGTAACCTTGTGGAAGCATCTTAATCTCTCTAGACCTCAATATCCTCCTAACTAAAATTGCACAATTTAAAGTAATGGTCTCTGAATCCCCTGTAGCTCAGGAAGCCCATGAACCTCTGATCCTCTTTTCCCTTCTGTTTTTTTAAGTGCTATTGAAATGACTATCTTAGTTTAATCCTGAGTCAGGAGGTTTATCTCATTACGTGTTTGTTTAAGTTTGAAGTGTATGTAATTATAAAATCAAGGAATGACAGATGATGTTTCATAAGTTGTATGTTATTAGCACAGCTGGTATATCAGAAAATGGAAAAAAAAATCTCTTCAACTACATTTATTTTCATCTGTGTTCACAGGAAGTTCAACACAATTGCCAGCTTCACAGAATATCATTTTGTGCAGATGATAAAACTGACAAGAGGATATTCACTTTCATATGCAAAGATTCTGAGTCAAATAAACATTTGTGCTATGTATTTGACAGTGAAAAGTGTGTAAGTATGCCAGATGTTTTAGGGTGGTTTGTTCTGCTCTACAAGCCAGGAATTATCTTGTTTCTGGCATTAGTAAAGTATTTGGAAATGAATAAGGTCTGCAAATACTTAACTACACTAATAGATTCATCCTGTCATGAGAATATGCTTCAAGATTTCATCCTTAACTAAATTCTCATGTTCATGGGCAAAAGCTTTCATGCAAATTTCTTTTCTTAGAATGTCATGCTTATGTTATACATTTGTCTTATAATCACTTGATTTATTTGAAATTTTAAACTCAAATACGGTTTAGTAATATGCATATAATGCAAAAGAGTAATTGCCACCAAAGTATTGATTTTTTTTTCTGGAATGTGATGGATCTGATGAAAATAAATATTTTAAACTCCAGGAAATGAAATGTGTATGGCTTCTCAAAAAAGTCTCCAATACTTTGAAAATCTGGTTCTTGATTTTCATTATTCAGAAAACTTAATATAATGAAAGGTGGTAGAATTGTATGGGCATGTGTGTGTGCCTGTGTACAAGCTTGAGAATGTAATCTAAAGTTCTTAGCAAGTAAGAACAATTAGAGAATTCCAAAGTTAAGTTCACTAACAGTTCTTTAATCACCTGGAATCTTAAGGAAAACCCCATGTCTTGACTACAAGCATAAGCTAATGCTAATCGTAACCTAGTCCGAGGTCCTGTTATAAAACATAAGATGTGAATTCCAAGCACACATTGTAACCTTTGATAGCTTTAATTGAGGAAGAACATCTAGCCTCAACAACATGATTGCCTTAGACAGAAAGAAACTTAATTTATTTATTTGCTCATTTTTCATACTGTCAAAAATAGCAGGGACTAATATTATCACTCTTATATAATTTATTTCTCTGGTTTCAGTACATGAGCTTCTTAAAAACAAATATTTTTATTTGTCCATGTAACTCCTGCATCAGGTGAACAATAGATGCTCAATGAATTTTTTCCTTAAAGAAAAGACTATGTGGACAAATTTACAAAAGGTAGAGCAATTTATTATCTGTATCTTTTAAACTGTAGTTCTTTAAACAGGTAAACTAATGTGCTAAGCTACTCAGCATCATAATATGTTTTGAGAATTTGATGAATATTATGAAACATCTCATCAGAAAAATATGCTTATCCATATAAGACAATATTATGTGAACAATATGGCATTTTATATGAAATTAAAAAGTTGTTTTTGAAATGTATCCTATCGAATGAATGCATTATATTTAATGTCCCAAATGCTTCTTAACCATGATTGCTTGCAAATGTTTTCTCTGTGATTGAGAAGATTAAGGTTGATACTTATTGAATATCTTCTATGTGTAAGATATTATAATCTTTTACCACTTATGACAAACAGTAAATTCATTTGCCCTTCTTTTTTGTCTTACACATAGGAATAAACTTCCTCGGGGTCCTTTGAAATATTCATAACCCAAGTCCATTATAAATACTAGTCTTCTTATAACCTTATGTCACATGTTTTATCTTTCTTTGATCTCCAAATTTATTACATGATTATTTAAAATATAAGCTTGCTAGAATTCCCATGTACTTTTATTGTTTTCAAAGTATAAACTATGTTACTCCCTGATCATAATTGTTTGTAACTGATTTCCAGAATTTCAGTTCCTTGACCCATTATTCCTCTCTGGATATACCATATTAGCTTTCTTTTTTCTTGAAGGTTGAAAATATTTTCTTGAAGCCCACAGCAGTGGCTCACAACCATTAGTGTGCATAATGGAGGACCCTTTACAATACAGCTCATTGGTTCCCACTACAAAAAATAAGTTCATATTGATTCGTGCTGGAGCTCAGGAAATCTACATTTAACAAGTCCACCAAGTGATTCTCCTGCAGGTAGATGGAAGTCTGAGCTTTGAAAAGCAAGGATCCAAGATATCTCTCCAACTATAAGTTGGCATCACTTTCATTAGCTTAAAGAGGACATGTTTCCTCAAAGTTTCATTATATCATTTTCACCTCAAAGTTTTATTTGCTCTAATTATAACAATGTCTATATTCATAAAATTGATTTTATATGTATGCAGAATTTTGAAATGCCATCCTCTCTAATTCTCATTTCCTAGTTATTGAAAATTAAACAGGAAAATAAATTATGGCCCGATTAACACAGCTCTTCCTCTTATTTTAAGAAACCAAAGCTTGAGAAGTTGAGTGACTTTCCTAAAGTTACAAAGCTCGGAGATAACAGAATCAGGATTGAAATTTAATACCTTGAATTGCCATTGTAACATTTATCCAGTCATGCTGTCTTACTCCCAAACTGTGACCTCTTCCAGGGGCCTTGTCTTATATATTCATTATATTTTATCCTTTCAGTACTTCCATGAAATTGTTGAGAGTTTGAAAGATAGATGAAGCCCCTCTTAGCATGCCATGAGACTGGAGTTCACTACTTTGTTAACATGTTGTGTTAATGAGTCTCCCTCCATGGTGACAATGAGGATAATGTGGGGAGCTAGAGTACCCAGCCCTGCTAAGCAGTAATGAAGAGAGGCCAAGTAAGGAAGCTAAGCTTCTATCCCCACCAGGCAGTAATGAGGCAATGCTCTCCCATTCCCATTCCCCTACTGGAACTGTGTCAGAGAGAGCCACCCAAACACAAAGTTTAAATAATTTCCAGTGTCTCATAACATAATATCTAAAATATCCAGGATTCAATTGAAAATCACTCATCATATCAAGAATTGGAAAATAAACTAAATGAAAAAAGATGACCAATAGATCTCAACACTGAGATGAGAGAGATATTAGTTACCAGACAAAACTTTTAAAACAGCCAACATAAAAATAATAAAATAAACCATTACAATCACACTTGAAACAAAAAGTAGAAAGTATTATCAAAGAAATAGAAAATCAAAGCAAAGAAATTGAAGATATAAAGAAAACCCAACTGAGAATATTAGAGCTGAAAAATATGATAGCCAAATAAAAAACTCAATATATGGACTCAGAAGGGCGAAGACAGAAGAAAGAATCAACAACCTAGAAGATCAAAAAATAGAAAATGCCCAATCTGAACAACACAGAGATAATAAGCATACACATATGTATGCACACACACATGTGCACACAGGCATACACACAAAACAATACAAAAGCAAAAAACAAAACAGAACTTCAGGGACCTGTGGGACTATAACAAAATATCTAACATTCATGTGTCATCAGAGTCCTGGAAAGAGAGAGAAAAAAAGGTAGCCTTGAAAAAAACACATGAAGAAATAATAGTTGCAAACTTCCCAAATTTGGCAAAAGACATAAACCTATAGATTCAAGAAATTGAATGAACTCCGAACAGGATAAACCCAACTAATTCCACACCAAGTCACATCATACATAATCAAACTTCTGAAAACTAAAGACAGAAAAACCTTGAAAGCAGCAAGAGATAAACTAGTCCTTACCTATAGCAGAAACATCAATTCAAATGACAGTGTATTCCTTATTAGAAACCATGAAGGTGAGAAGGAAGTAGCACAGTATATTTTGAGTGCAAAAAAAAAAAAAAAAAAAAAGCAGTGCTGTCAAACCAGAATTTTATATCCAGAAGAAAACATATACTTCAAAAATTAAAGAGAAATCAAAAAATTATCAAACGAAGGAAAACTAAGATTATTTGTCACTCCCAGATCTACCCTAAGTGAATGGCTAAAGGAAGTTCTCTAAACAATAAAAGAAGGCAGCTTGGAACATGAGGAAGGAAAAAAGAACAGGATAAGCAAGCATATGGGTAAATCTTTAGTTTTCTAAATTATGATTGACAGAAGCAAAAAATACTTTCTGATATGATTCTAAATGAATATATAGAAAATATGTGAGTCAATTATAAACAGGGAAAGTTGAAGGGATGTAAAGGGAGGTAAAGTTTCTACACCTCTCTTGAACTGGAAAAATGACAACATTAGTAGCCTGTGATAAGTTGTATAAATATAATGTGAATTACAGAGCAACCACTAAAAAAGTTATAAAATGGGATACATTTAAAAATACTATGGGTAAATCAAAATTTTATTATAAAAATGTTTTAAAAACCCATAGAAATTCAGTAAAAAGAAAACAAAGTAGAAATAACAGAAAAGAAAAAAAGTGGAAATTTAACCTCTAATATATCAAAAATTACATTAAATGTAAGTGGTCTAAGTATACTAATTAAAAGAGATTGGTAGAGTAGATTTTAAAAAACCCAGATATATGTTGTCTTCAAGAAACTTGCTGCAAGTATAATGATACAGGTGATATAAGAAGGTTAAAAATAAAATAATGAAAAAAGATTTATCATGCAAAAATTATTCTAAGAAAGCACAAGTAAGTGTATTAATATCAGATAAAGTACACTTCAAAGTAAAGAAAATTATCAGAGACAAAGAAGGACGTTATTTAATGATAAAAGGGTCATACCACCAAGAAGAATAACAATCCTAAATTTACATGATCATATCACAGAGCTGCAAAATAAGTGAAACAAAAACTGATAGAACTGAAAAGAAATATGGGATAAATAGACAAATACACAATTATAGTTGGAGCCTTCACCACCACTTTTCTTAAAATTAATAGAACAACTAGACAGGAAATCATCAAGAATATAGAACTCAACAACATCAGCAACCAATGGAATCTAATTAGCAACTAAAGAGAACTTCATTCAATAACAACAGAATGCATATTGTTTTCCAGTGCCAAAGGAACATGTACCAAAATAGACCATATCCTGGGCTACAAAACAAATCTCAAAAGTTTAAAAGAGTTGAAATTATAAAGCATGTGTTCTCTGACAACAAAGAAATTGACCTAAAAATTAATAACAGAAAGATAACAGGAAAGTCTTCAAAAACTTGGAAGTTTTGTTTTTCCATATGTCAAAAAGGACATCACATTTGTAAACATCCCTATGTTAAAGAGGAATCTTTAAGAAGAAAAACTTTAAATGTGTGAACTATATAGAA